GACAGCAAAACCATTATAAAAACATTGAATGATACAGTCAACCACGGTTTAGACCAACAAAAAGTACACCTTCTATATTAGCTGTAAGCTTCATTAAAGTTAATTGATGAACTTGATTTATGATGAATCATGTTTCATATTATGTGAACTGCATGTGTTGTAACATTATTATTAAAAGGAACACACACCCCTTTTATACATCCTTAACAAGTGAACAAATACACACACTTCTATACACAAAATGATACTTTTTATTAGGGATGTCAACGAGTACTCGAGTATTCGCGTATCGCTCGGTAGTACCGAGTATTGAATACCAAAACGATACTCGATTAATCGGTTTCCTGTTAGAATTATACTGCTGTCTTTATATAAAATTGATCTTTTTGAGAACCTCTCGGAAATTAAATAGGCATAACTGATTAATCATACTAGTAAATAAAATACATTTTGTTTCGAATGCTTGTGCTAAATTGTCATTTAAAATGGATCCGAAAATAGCTATACCTAGGCTAACATTTTAAACTAACATGTCTCAGCCATTCTGTCACATCGGTGCCGTCAGAGAAAATATTTTCATCTGCAAGACTGTAATTTACAAAGTTGCATAACCGACTTTCACCAATAATAGTTGACAAGAAAATGTTTCCAAATAAAATAAATTCGTTGCATCCTCCGGTAACCCTCAGTGAATAGTTCAACTTCTAATCGTACGCCTTTGTAACATGTGTAAACATAAGTTGTGTTTTCTTAACGATTTCCAAATACTATTGTTTGATATGGCTTTTCTTTGTTATAATTTTTGAATATGTGTTCATTAAAATTAATTGATAAGATTACTTTTTTTTACTTAATTAGTACTTTGTAGGTAAGGAGCTATTAATTATGGTGTGTAATTCCTTGTCCCAGATACGTATATAGATTGTTTTTCGTCCGTTATACAATGTACAGAATGTAAAATACGTATGTTTGTGTTTCCGTGTTGTAAATATTACCGAGCGAGTACTCGAGTATCGCTCGACAAAACTAACGAGTACTCGATTAGTAATTGTTCACCGAGTTGACATCCCTACTTTTTATACATCCCACAAAAGCAAACGACGCCCTTTTATACATCCCATTCAAGCAAACGAACACACACCCCTTTTATACATCCCTTACAAGCAAACAAATACACACACTTTTATACATCCATGCACACAAGCAAACGACGCCCTTTTATTCATCCCATACAAGTAATTTAACACACTCTTTATATATACATTCATCCCACACACACAAACGAACACGCACCCCTTTTAAACATCCCACACACAGGCACTTGTCTCTGATTAAAATTGTATATGCATATAGGTAAGTTTTTTTCAGAGACAAGTGCCTGTCATCCAACAAAAGCAAACGAACATACACACTTGTATACAGCCCTCACCAGCAAACGAACACACACCATTTCTATACATCTCAAACAATGAAACGAAAACACATCCCGTTTATACATCCCACACAAACAAAGAACACATATCCCTTTTATACATCTCGAAGTAGCAAACAAATACACACTCTTTTATACAACCTTCACAAGCAAAACTAGCGAACCCCTTTTAAATTGTAGACCCAACATTAGCATGATTAGTAAACGAAAGCACCCTTTTATAGATCCCACACAAACAAACGAACACACACTCCCTTTATGATTCCCACTCAAGCAAACAAACACACGCCACTTGTATTGACCCTGCACACACAATCAAACGAGTACACACTTCTTATTTAAAACTAAACACTAATTGGCTCTGTTTTCATCATATCAGTCTTAAAATAATAAATATTGAAATTACGAGTCGCAACAGTAAGACAAGCAGCATATTTTTTTTTTTTATTTCGAAATTGAATTTTTGTTGTACATATATATAGTAATTATTATTTAGATTTTGTGTTATTTCAGGAACTCTGAATGTATGATAGAAGTCAAATTACCCATTTAAGCTACCACGTCCCCATTTTCCATGGCCCCTTCCCTTATAGAATTTTATATTGTTTATACATAAAAGAAATGTTTTTATATGATGATTATACTATCAACAGTACCTATAAATTGATTCTATGATTTTGGCTGTTTTCTAGAGTGCTTCTATTGAAAATCAGTTAAAAAATTAAAAAATCAGAGTTTTTTGTTCCTGTATGTTATTGGAAAATAATTTACTTTTGATTTAAGTTGACAAAAAAAATCATACAGAGATAAAAAAGCCTTTACCCATATCACATGTCTCAAGAGATGTGTGATTGCATCCTGATATAAAATAAAACAAGCAATTAAACATATTTGTATGATTAAATTAATATATAAAATATGGAGAAGTGGTATGATTGCTACTGAAATAACGTCCCAACAGAGTTCAAATGAAGCGGATTGAAGGAACTTTTGATCACCGAACGGTCTTCAACAATGAGCAAAACCCATACCGCATAGTCAGTTATTATAAGCCCCGACGTGACAAAATGTCAAACAATTCAAGCAAATAAATCAACGGCCTGATTAATGACAAAACAATAAAAGAAAAACAAATATGACAGTCAGCATTCAACAACAACCACTTAACTACAGCGACTCTTTTTACAATAGTTATACTGAAATGTGTATGACTTACGAGTATTTTTACTCTTAAGATTTTTAGTGAAAAGAGCCGCAGGATCCTAATAATTGGGAAGAGATTTGAACCTTTTAATGTGATGCTGGAAAATGGCTTCATACACATGGAAATCCCTAACTGTGTATTTGGGAATACATAATTTCGGTCTAGATGTCGTTTGGGTATTTTGACGTATATCCTACATCTATTATTCAAAATGAAAAGCTCACAATGTGTAAGTCGAAGTCCTCGCATTCGCCGAAAGTTTTGCTCTAACCTAACCGTACTGTCAGTTGTGAAATTGCAATTCAAGGCATGAATCAAGGAACTCTGAGGAATCCCCTTAGTCATAATGCATTGAGATGAGTTAATTCAAAATAGTTATCCACAATTATTTAATGAGATGATAAAATCTGAAGAGTATATAGCACTTTATAAAAAGGTAAAGGATGTCAGCTAAATTTGTTATTCATGAAAACTCCTTTCGAGTCTGAATAAGAACAACTCAGTTTGTAACCCCATAGGATTGACGTCTGTCCTTTGAAATTAAAAAAAAAGTTACTTGGGAATCTTATACCTAATAAAGATTGATTTATTTCGTCCTACACTTTCATAACATTAAATTCGTTGACTATCTCTTTCTCTACGTTGTGTGCAGTTGTTTTGTAAATGCTTTCAAGAAATTCGTGAACTAAAACCACGCGTCCTTGGTTCTATGTAGACGTCGTTTGGACTCATAGTCTTGAGCGCAGGTCATGTAAAAATATGAACCGTCAATACGTTGAATATTTCTTATATGTGGTTTCTGATCTTGAATACACAATGGGGAAAAGTTACTTATTGGAGCATTTCGTTAGGAAAACAGACAACACCATTTAAAACCGAAGAAAAAAAAACCAAGAACGTACACCAAGTTCAAACAATGCTAAACCGAAAAGTAAATTTCTCTTTAATTTGGTTGGCTTATCCAGCATCACAAGACGATATTACGGCATTTCCATTGGCTATTCGTTAGGTCAATGATGACTTTCAAAGGTTGAGTCGATGTACATTTCGTCCATGGCAACGGTCATATGTGATTTCTTCAATAATATACAAAACACTCACACATTTCACCTGATAATCTTTTTTTTTTTGTCAAATTTTATTACATTCTGAAGAGAACAAAAAGTCCTAAAATGTCTGATGTCAAAGTTTGACATCGGAAAAGGACATATGACGGTATACTGGAATGTGCAAAGGACTGGATCAACATTTCCTTGAAGTTTTCATTTAACACATTGAGAGCGTTGACCATAAGAGAAATAGGTTTAACAACTTGTGAAAATTGGATATCGCTTGATATCAACTCTCGTTATTTAATTTAAATAGTAATAATAAACTCGCCGAAGGCTCGTTTATTGTTAATTGAAATCAAATAACTCGAGTTGATATCAAGCGATATCCCATTCTCACTCGTTATGAAACCTATAAATATAAGTTCGTAAGCACACCATTACAAATCAGAGGGAAATACTCAGTTGAGGGAAAGGGTACATTGTTACATCTTGATGTCTTTTTCATACAAGATCATTTCTGGTCTCTTTTAAGTTTAATCACACAATTTGTCTTGGAATGTGATATACCGAGTTTGGTGAATAGAACCTGTTGTTAAAGACCATTTCTTAATCTTTATATGATTTGTTCATGTTTGTGTTGCTGGATTGCTGTCTTATCAACATATACAGCTTATATTTTTGGTATGAGGAATAATGCATATTTTGTATTCTCTAAATAATACAGATAGTTTTCATGTGAAAGTAATGGGTGTAATAAAGTTCTTTATTGTTCTCAATATAAGTATGCGAGGCTTGCAGCTAGACTACTTATAGCCTGAGGTCTAGTTCAGTTGTTTAATATCTGCAAAAATATACATGTCTCACAGAGGAAGCATCCTCTATATTTGCTAAAACAAATAAATACAACGATATTTAAAAAAAATATTTAATTAGTAAATAACTTATAAAGATATAAACGTAATCAATATCATTAACCAATATACAAATAGAGAATATCATTAACCAATATACAAATAGAGAATATCATTAACCAATATACAAATAGAGAATATTATTTGACTTTTTCAATATCACAACTATAGCAACCCAATACACCAATATAATCCGAGGAAATCTGCTCAAAGGATTATATTGGTTGAGGATTGATACGGTCTGTGATATTAAAAAATCATATCAATACACTTTATAATAAACCTTAAATAGATGTTTTTTTCACTTAACATAGCCTAATACTAATTAGGATTTCGATAATTTACAGAATCACCCTGGTCATCTGTTAAACATATTTTTAGAAACAGTACATTAATCATACCTGTAAAATTCTATATGCTATACAAAGCTTTATCATTCCGGGCCTAAGTTCTACAGCTTCCTGGTAAAGGTCAAATTCAAAGTATGCCATAAATATCCCTGAACCAAGTTATCACAATCATCAACTCATTAATGCTGTAGTTTTTCCGTAATTAACATGTAACTCTCCTGCAGTCGGCCACAAACATATATTTATATATGGTTTAGTGTTCGTCAAAGGGTCTTTAGCATCAAGGTAATGTGATACTATACTCCTGGAAAGTGGTGCTATTTAAAATAATTTTCTTATAGATTGTGCTATGGATGTGATGCAATAATTTCTTAAAGCAAGATGATATCTTAAAATAATGCTACAGTTGTGGAGAGAGCCCTGTTTTTATATAGACAATACTGCTATATACTGGCAGGCGTAAAAGTAACATACCTGTTAGGTACATCTTAATAGTCCCCAACATTGCAATAAACAAGTAACTCCCTTGGTCCACTGTTAATAAATCCCAAACCAGAAATATACATTGGCCTTCCTTTGAATGTACATAGTTAGTAGAGACCAACATAGAAATAACACATGACTTGTAATGCTCCTTTTATGATATAAATATTCTTTCTTATTAACATACAAATTAATTGTCATTCCAAAACCTTGTATAAAGCAAATAAGTGAAAATAACTCTTTATTTAATTGGAATGCATTTTTTTCATATTATTTATAATTTACTGCAGTCAGTAAAAGATACTTATCGATTTTCCTAAATTAAAATATCAAACCAAAACACTAATTGTCATTTGAATTTTTTTTGTAGGACACAAAATGTTATTGAACTTCATTGAAAAAAAAAACATTAAAGATAAAATTAGAGAGTATTTCCAGGAAGATGTAGCATCAAACAGAAATGGCAAAGATATAGCCGGACATATTTTAAAATAAGATAGCCCAAATCATAAAACAAAACCCCAAAAAACGTCTGCCTTATTCGAAATCCTGTACAAAATCTGTACATATTTGGTGGAATTGTATCATCTCATTTTCAAAGTTGTACAATTGGATGCCCTAAAAACTAGTATATTTATGAGCATTAAAGTTAAATAGTGACTAGCACTTTTATTTTTTATTTTTCAGATAACAAAATTTGACGCAGACGACCAAAGAAGTCCTCCCTACATATTGATCCAGGTTTGCTGTCAAGCTGAACAATTATTGTTTTCAATAGAAAGAAAAACTTTTAAATGAGAGAATTAACAGCAGCCTCAACATGGCAAATATAATGTGATAATAATAACACTTTCTTTTTAATGAAACTATAAAAGATGAAAACGTTAACATTGACGTCTTGACCTGAATGTTCAATGTGAAAACGATATTTTGAAGTGTGGTTTTCATTCCTCTTTTGATTATTTCGATTTTTCTTAACAATTTATTTGTCACCCACCTCAATAACATATTATATATCTTCATTTAAAAACTAGATTACATGTTCAGTCTTAACTACATATATATATTACCATGAATAGAATATATAAAGCCTGATCACAACCGTCTTATATAAAGTTTATCATCTTACTTTAACACCTGCATAACAATGTATTACAAATATCGGATATCAAATTACCGTTCTTACATACATTTAACAAATATCAACAAAAGTAACATTCAAAAATGCTGTATTTAAACTTTTTCTGAATCACAAATTATCTGTCCTGCAGTTTGTCACGTTAGTATATAGATAAATAATGCTGAATTACTAGACCTTTGTCAATACAAATAAAATAAGGTATAGTCATAACACAATAATTCATAAGAGTTATCTGTTAAAATGATTACTGAATAAATGCAATTACAAAATGCATAATTGCAAAAAAGTTAATGTAAAGAATTAGTATAGTTTTAATCATAAATCATTTGATATTTCAGTATGATAATTTGCCGTCTAATACTACTCGACTGAGATGGAATTTTGATGAACGTTATGCCGTCATAAACCAAACAGCATTGATGTTGCCAAAGAAATATAGATAAAAAGAAAGTTAATGGTCTTTCACCCTAGATGGTGGTTTATCAACCATTGAAGATTTATTGATATTTGATTTTTATTAATCGCTGGATGTTTATAATTTTCTTTTTTTAGGAACCAAATTAAAACCTGTGAATCAGGCAGGTCAAAGAAAGATTCTTACAAGATCATAATGATGAATTATGAAGGACTTATACTAATTGAAATTGTTCAGAAAACATATTTGCTTTAAATGTAGTAGTCAGTACAACTAATTGAATATGGTTGATTTATGAAGGATAGTGTGCAGGCTGACCTCCAATATAGTTGATTTATGAAGGATATTGTGCAGGCTAACCTCCAATATGGTTATTTATGAAGGATATTGTGCAGGCTAACCTCCAATGCGGTTGATTTATGAAGGATATTGTGCAGGCTAACCTCCAATATGGTTGATTTATGAAGGATATTGTGTAGGCTAACCTCAAGTCACTGTTACTGCAGTTTGCTTTTATAGAGGATAAGTCGACAACACATCAATGGTCATAATCCTGTAAACCATCGGCAAGCAGTGATGTAGTTTCACTGATAATTTGGTTAGTCTTCAAGGAATTTTGTCTACCACATCTTGCATCATACAGACATGAAAATGACAGTAAGAGAACCTGTAATTATGATATAAAAGTCCTGTAATACTGACTACAACATCTCGTATCATACAGCCATGAAAATGACAGTAAGGGAACCTGTAATTATGATATAAAAGTCCTGTAGTACTGTCTACAACATCTCGTGTCATACAGCCATGAAAATAACAGTGAGGGAACCTGTAATTAACAGACTAAAGCCCTGTATTACTGTTTATTACGCTGGAAAAAGCTATGTCTCCCCTCCACTATTTTGTAAAGTGGATCAAAACATAAAATTTTATTAGAAGTGCAATTAGGCCCTTTATTACCTTGTTTGCTTTATTCCCAAACTTTAGTTTTCTCAGAGTAATGTACCACTCACAATGACATTGACAAACTGTCAGTTTTTACAAATTTTGTCAACGTCCATAAAAATGGAAAGATAGGAAGAAAAATAGGTCACACAAGTTACCAAAAAAAGTGTAATAAAACAAAAAGAAAGAAAGACAACTCATCCGCCAAAAAGAAAAAAATCTCCAACAACAGACCACAAAACACTACACAGAAAACTAACTACATGTTGAAACTATCTATTGTGCAACATCAATTCCATGGAAAACTAACTACATGTTGTGTAACATCAATTCCATGGACAACTAACTACATGTTGTGTAATACCAATTCCATGGAAAACTAACTACATGTTGTGTAACATCAATTCCATGGAAAACTAACTATTGTGCAACATCAACTCCATGGAAACAAGGATTAACTCAGGTAAAGTTTAAGTTTTTGCATGTCAATTTTTCTGTTATATTTTTTTTAATTCATGGTTAAGCATAAAACAGGCTGTTGGTTGTCTTGTTTTGTCTTGTCAGAGCCTTTTAAATGTTTTAAAATCCATGATAGAAGGAAGAAGATACCTGGCCCTAAATTTGTGTTAAAAAAGGACAGGTGTCCTGTATATTGTTATTCTATGGCATAATTTTCAGGAAAGCATAAATTTAGAATAGCTCACCATAAATAAACATGCTCCTGCTGTTATAGTACAACAAAATGGAAAACCATATATATCTAGCAATGTACCACCAATCGTTGGTCCCAGAAAATCTCTGTAATGATAATGATATATGAAGACTACACTACAATTTGATGGCCCGAAAGATCCCTGAACTTATAACATGTATAACATACTGTAATAATACATCCTATATAATATTAGTCCTTAAGAGGCCATTTAATAATGAAAATTAATTAATAAGACTAATAAAAATAAGTTTCATGTATGAGTGGTATATTTTCGCCAAATAGCTACATTCTTTGCCTAATGTCATGGCAATAATGCATCAACATTGCTATTTCAACTAATCAGAATTTGGTTTTTAGCAGTGGTATTGAATACATTTTGTGCTCTCTATGATTACATAGACATGTAAAGGCTTGAACATGGCAATGTCATCAATCAGAATTAGGTTTTTGGTAGGAGTGGTATTGTTCATTACATTTTATGCCATCTGTAATCACATAAAGGCTTGGACATGGCTATGACCAACATATCAGATTAGGTTTCAGTTAGGAGTGGTATTTTTCAATACATCCTTTGCCCTTAGTTATCACATTAAGGCATTTATAATGCCATTTCGACAGATCAGAACTAGGTAACTGATATTAGTGGTATTTTCACTACATTCCCTGCCTTCCGTCATCAAACATTAACATTACCATTTCAACGATAGGTTACGGATGGGAATGTATGAATGGTATTTTGCATTGACATTTGTTGTTTCCTGTAATTTTAACATTGCTTACAGTTAACTTTGGTATCCACATGTGTTATTTGCCACAAGGAGTGTAAAATATCCTTTATCTCTTTGGTAAAAAAAAACTATGAATTACACTAATTTGAATGCAACGTGTGTGATCGAAGAAAAAATGTCAGTAACATAAGGAAATCATAATACAATAAGCATGCAAAAATTATAATTGTAATCCTATTCAACCTATACATATTTCAAGGTTGTTTTGTGATATTTAGCATATGACTTACCCTAAAGCATAAAATGATCCCCACAGACCTGCTACAATACCATACATTCCTAAATCATCATCGAATCCTAGCTCTCTGAAAAAATATTCCACCTGTACTTATGTATTTTATTATTACATTCGCAGCTGCTAGTTCCCCAAAGAAAACCAGTATCACATATGGTATTGTTACACATAATAGCAACATATATGCTACCTCAAATATTAGAATTTTAATTTTAATTTGCCTTATAAATCCGAATATCTCTCCTTGCTTCAGCAAAGACTTATTTTCAAAAATGTAAACCTTTTTAAGGACCATAAAATATAGTACACCAAAAGAATAATGTACTAACATATATGATATGTTGTTTGACAACACATATTGTTTGTGCCTTTACCCTGGATTTCAAAGGTGTTGGAACAAACCAAAACAAATTGGAATTGTTACAATGTTATTCAGTTGAACAACAGTTTATTCTTGTGATGGTAGGAGATTAAGTGGGGGTCTGAATGTGGGTGAAATTTTATGCGACTGTACAAACAAGTGAGAGGTTTAGCTAGCGATAAAACCAGGTTTAATCCACCATTTTCTACATAAAAAATGCCTGTACCAAGTCAAACATGTGACAGTTGTCATCCAGTCGTTGTGATGTGCTGAGCTTTTTAATTTTGCCATTTGATTAGGAACTTTCTGTTTTGAATTTTCCTCGGAGTTCGGTATTTTTGTTATTTTACTTTTTGCTGAAGCTCCAATTGGTATTGAATGTTGAATTGTTAATATAAGTGCAATCACTGTTATTTCAATATAAGTTACAACAATGCACACGTTTTCTTGCTAAGCTATATCCACGCATAATGCAAAGTGTCAAAAACCGTTAGTAGGTGTCCAAAAGCGCTAACAAATTACAATAGATAACTGTTTGACTGCTGACCAAACATGAATCTATTCTGCTTAGTAGATTTTGAGAAAAGTGGGACAAAATATTTCTATTTATTTAACAATTTGAAAAGAAATTTAAAGTATCAGGAAACATAAATTAAAAATGAGAAAGGAACGAGCAAAACCCATACCGTATATGACAAAATATGAAACAATTCAAAACAGTAAACCTGAAAGTCTTAATTTATGCTAAAACCAAATAAACCAACAACTATTATGACAGACAGAACCAAACACAACCTCTGGTTTACAGGCTCCAGACTTGTTATAGGCAAATACAAAAGGATCTAACATTTTTGTAAACGTTCAATATTCCACCAAACCTGGAAAAGAACAACCTACCATCAGTCAGTTCGAAAGGGTTTGACTCAACGGGTTGAAAAGAAGCACAAATCAAAGCGCGAAAGCGCTGTAAAAGCAGTTAATTACAGGTTTTGTGTATTTTTAGTCCAGTTATATCATTATCTTGCATAGTACATTGTACTTATCAGAGGTGGCTTTCAGTATTTAAGATTTAAAGTTCTCTAATGATATTGATCAAGTTTTAGGAATGTCATATTCTGAGCACTA